CTGTTGCCCCCAACCACACTTGGAGTGGGTTGTTTCCGTAGGTGGATTTTTGACGCGGGTCTTGCCCGTGTTGAGATTGCGCTGGAACCCCCATTCCCTATACTACTGATTAATACCTATGACCATGTATTGACGGTTTGCCCTTTCCCACTCACAAACGTGGAAAACTTTACATATTCTTTACTCATAATGAACGAAGGAAATTTCAAGAAAATATAATCTATACGAGATGATAAATTCAACAATATTTCAAATGATAGAATATTCGAGGGGCAGCTGCCAATGACGTCACTAGAGTAATTTGTTTGTGACAACTTCCAATGTATGGGTTGTTGCTAGGCAACACTATACTTTGCAGGGCATTATGGGCTAGTTTTAGTTGGAAGGAGATAAATCACTTGAAGCGAGGAAAAGAGTGTAGTTTGTTATGATATTGTAGCGATATAAAAATACATCCGATCACGGTCGAGTCAAGGGATATCGATAAATCAAGTATTTAGGAAGGCAAAGGAAGTGTATTTTGTCGAGAAAGAGCTAAAACAAAACTTCAGATCATCGCAGAACGTTGCGAACTAAAGGCGAAGGAGTTGTTTGTATAGCAGAAGTGAAAGTGGATTTATGGCATTATAACAAGGAAAAAGAAGAGATTCTGTTCAGTTTTTCCAAACGAAGTGCTTTTTATACTTCAGAGATCATACTTCAGATATTAATATGGATTGACAGAATGCAAAACCAAGAAACAAGGCATCTTAATTGAGATCGTTTGATATAATTGAATTCCCCGATCTTCTTCTTCTTCACAAAATGCATCGTTACCAGAGCATCAAACAACTTGGAGACGGTACTTATGGCTCAGTCGTGCTGGCCAAGAACCAAGAAACCGGTGAAACTGTAGCTATCAAAAAGTAAGTAACATAATTTTAGACATCCTTGATGAAGAATTTTATTCAGTTTATAAAAATGAATTAAGTCTCTAATACCTGTTTCAATAGAGAACGTGTTAATTATATTGTTTCAAACTTATTTTGGCTGTGAAAATATTAAGATTTGGTGTTTGTTTTGTTAGAATGAAAAAGAAGTTTTACTCCTGGGAAGAATGCCTGAATCTGAGAGAAGTTAAGGTATGTAAAGGATAGTAATATACCTAAATGATTTAGCCATAACAATCTCAGTGCTAAATCTGCTTTCTAAAAGTAAAAAAAATTTCTTTGTGTATTTTATAATCTTTCGCTAATTATTTGTCAACAAAAAAATTAATTATCATACATTGGTAAACTTTTCTTATTCTTGTACAATCATTATTAATACCAGGTATACACATATAGAAAAGCTCTTTTTGCATTATTTTTTTTTACTTGAATACATTGTTAAAACAATATGATACATCGGGATACAAACTATATGCAGTCCTTTCATATAAGGATGGCCAGTCCAGGGCTTAAAATAACAGAAGGTCATTACAAGCCAAGTTAGTTTTAGTTCCGTCATACCTTACTTCTGGTTCAACTTTACTGGTCAAAATGACTGGCAAGTCAAGATTTGACCAGACAAGTTCCATTTCTGGACAGACATTGTCCTATGGCCCGCTGTTATTTTAAGTCCTGTTGGTCACTTAGAACAAATGTATATACAAAGAGGAAAAATAAATTTTCTTCTGAGAGTGGTCCTACATAACCCATGAAATAGTTAGTAAACTAATACGGGCTAGTAAATCTTAGATGTATACACTTATTTCAATAAAGTTAGTCGCCTGAAAAGCTACAAAGCTGAGACCAACAAGGATTATGGGTAGTTACATTTTACGTGTTTCAACCACTTGAATAACTGTTGATGGATTTTAGATCTTTTACCATTTACAATCTCACCTCTTCTGAGCATCCTCAAGCTGCAAATTGTATCAAAAGCTTTACTTGTTTGATATTAAAAGTTTCCCATGATCCTCAGTGATCTCAGCTTTCTAGGTTTTTTTGGTGACTAACTTTATTGAAATAAGTGTACATGAATCCATATTAGATTTGAGTTTTTAGATAGTTATTTGTAAGCCAATATAATGTCTGCAGAACTAAATTAATGTTGCATCTTATTAATTTTCCTCATTTTCAGTCTCTAAGAAAGCTAAACCATGCTAACGTTGTGAAATTGAAGGAAGTAATTAGAGAAAATGATCATCTTTACTTTGTGTTTGAATACATGAAAGAAAATTTATATCAAATGATGAAAAATAGGTAAGTGAATTACTTATTTGCATACCCATAGTAAAAAATATGTTAATATACTCAATTAATGAGGTATGCAAAAAATCATTTGGTTTTCTGTATCCTGCCACTTTTTCTATTATTATTAGTAGTATTATCAATATTATTATCATTATATTAAATCATCATCATCATTGATATTATTTTTATTTTGAAAATTTTTATTTATTGGTTTGATAAACAGAGACAAGTTGCTTCCAGAGTCAGCCATAAGAAATGTTATCTACCAAATATTACAAGGACTAGCATTTATACACAAACATGGTAAGATATGCGTCACTCACTCAATCCCTACCCAGCAAGGGTAAGGGAATAGATGGATTATCCACAATGCTTTATGGTATAATTAATTACCCACAATGCTTTGCTACTATGTTTGCCTTGTTTCACTAGTTTTCATAAGTTTTCACTAAATTCAGAACTTTCCAGGTGGTAAGGTCCAAATTGGAATAATCCTTTGGAACTAGCTTGAAGCGCCTTGATTAAATGCTTTGTACATGGTCATTAAAACAGTCAATGGAAGGTGGTGAATTCTTCCTTGCTAACAGAACTTGGTCTCATAATGAAATCCAGCAATACTTCACACAATGCTTTGCATAACCTATAGTTATCTACAGTGCTTTGCAAGCATTATTTATTTATTTAAGCCCTTGCTGATCATAATGAACCTCCCTGCCTTAGTATCTATCCATTTATTAAACAAATTATCTTGATCACCAAGCTTGTAAAGTTCAAGCGATAAGACTAGCTTTACTCAACTCATTATAATGCTTTAAAAAATCTCATTTTTAGGATTTTTCCATCGTGATATGAAACCCGAAAACCTACTGTGCTCTGGTAATGACTTAGTAAAAATAGCTGATTTTGGCCTTGCAAGAGAAATCAGATCAAGACCTCCGTACACTGATTATGTCTCAACAAGATGGTAATGATTGAACCTTACTGCTTTCCCATCATTTTTAGACCCATATCATTTAACCTTTCATGTTTAAACTAATAAAACAAATGTGATGTTTATATCAGGTACAGAGCACCAGAGGTGCTTCTCCGATCAACGGGTTACAGCTCACCTATTGACATGTGGGCAATAGGATGCATTATGGCAGAGCTTTACACTCTCAGGCCATTGTTTCCTGGCAGCAGTGAAGTTGATGAGATCTTTAAAGTCACATCAATTCTTGGGACACCCTCTAAGGTAACAAAATGTCAGAAATAATTGTTCGCATCTGGCTGCAGTTACTATAAATTTTGTCTATTCGTTTTTGTAGGAGGAATGGCCAGAGGGTCACAAACTCGCAGCTGCAATGAATTTCAAGTTTCCACAAATGGTAAGAGTTTTCAAATAGTGTTGGATACTAGAATTAGTAGAGGATGAAAGAATGAAATATTTAAGGGACTAGCTTAGATTTCCAGGGTGCAAGACAGATGCAAATTTGCTCATAAAATTTTAATGATGGAAAAGAAATGAGCTCAGAGCAGGATGTTTATTTAAGCTGGAATTCAATTTTCATCAGTCCTTATCTTTCTTTTAGTTTTGAAAATACCTGGTTTTTAAGGATGATAATGATAGTGATGATAATGATGATTCTGATGATAATTATGAATGATGATGATAATAAATAATCATGATGATGTTGGAGATAGTGTTGAATTATGGTGATGATGATCATGATCATGATGTTGAATGATGAATGTTGATGATAATAATGGTAAATGCTAAGATGATGGCGATGATGAAGATGATGGCGAGGATACTGAGATGGTGTTAATATCATTTGCATCAAAGTACATACGAATAAATACTCTTAAATTAGTCCCATTCATCTCTAAGATCGTCCTATTCCATTTAGGTTCAAACACCGCTCAAGCAGCTTATTCCAAACGCCAGCCCCGAGGCATTGCAGTTAATGCGTGACTTAATGATGTGGGACCCTAAAAAACGGCCAACAGCAGCACAAGCACTCAGATATCCATACTTCCAAGTTGGTCAGAATCTTCCCAAACCATTACAGTCAAAAACGTTCACAGAGAATAAAACTAAGGAAAACAGCGCTTACGGTCAGTTCTCCGACAAACCATCAGGAAAAAGAGTACTTGAAGAAGATGGGAAGCACACTTATAGCGGACAAAGCCAACCAGTTGCTAAGGTTCCTTTACAAAGTTATCAAAGTGGAAGAAAGCGATGGGAGGGTGGCCCTAAAGGTGGTGTCGGCGTCAAGGACAGCACAGACGAGTTCGAGTCAATATTGAACGAAATCGAACAGAAGACGTCGGCTCAACGCAAACAGGTAATGTTCAAAAAACTCGTTAAAATATGTTTGCAGCCTTTTTAAAACATATATATAACTTCTGACAGTGAAAAGGAGTTTTGATGTCCTTAATTCTGAATTGTTTCTATTTCTGCAACAAAATGTTAATTGGCGCCAGTAAACACTGAATTTTACCTTACTTTAACTTTACGTGTGACTGAGTGAAAACGGTATTTCATTCAAACCATTATCGCAAAGGCTGTAAAGTATTTGGACTATAATGTAGGAAAAAACCAGATGAATGGCTGGGCGCAGGAGCAGGAAAAGGCACCAATGAGTGAACTGAGAGGAGGGAAAATAAGTGAAGATGGGATGGCGGGATGGATGGGGATTTGCATAAAGTTAAGTTTGAGGTCCTGGTATTTGGCTAGCGGAGTCTGGAGATTCTTAGAAAAGAAAATAAGGGAAAAGAATAGCATAAAAAATTAAATAAGGAAAAAAATTTTTTTGAGCGAGTGACATTATGGTTTTGGTAAAAACACCATCTTTGTACAATTCTAAATTTAGCCCGAGTGAGTAGATAGCATCTTGTTCAGTTTCAGTCTTTGAATCCTGGAGCGAGCTTGTCGGATCGACCACTGTTAGTAAATGACCAAAATGCTTATTTTATCCTAACCAAGGCTTTGTGATGCAAAGTTTTTTTTCAAGATGCATAAATAAGTGTCATTTATTCCGCCTCTTTATGGATTAAAATATAAATATCAACGTATAACATAAATAAAACGAACGCCCTCTATTTTCGTTCTCGTAGTGAAAAAGATACGGTTCTTGGCCACTTAAATGGCTTCCGAGTTCAAGCTCTGTGATTGGTCAGTTTGCGACGTTAAGGCTTTATGATTAGCTAATACGAAAGCCATTTGAGAGTCAAGCTAGGTTGCGTTTCCCACACCTACCTACGAAGTCGGCCTTTAAAAACCTTGACGTAATCATTGTATACTTCGTAAAAAGACTTTCCCCTAGAGAGAAGCAAATAGCTAAAACTATCAATTCAAAAATACAGAAACTATATATTCTTTCTTTTTCGTAATTTCATTTTTTCAAAAATTATACGTAACTTTTTTGCATATAGCAAATGAGAAAATGATATTAAAATGCAAATTATCTCTGGAGACGGAAGTAAAATTGATAAACTTTTTTTGTTGAAGTTTAAAATTGAAATTCGAAGCTGGAAATATCTCGTTGAAATGGTCTCATTCTGTTTCTTTTATGTTCGTGTCATTAACTTTTGACATTAATAGGAATATTTATGAAAATAACCGTGAATAACTAAAAGATACATGCACAGATCTAGAGATAATACCTACTGACTCTGTCAATCGGTAACCAAGGAAAGGCGCGAAATCTGACACTATTTAATATATTTTTATGTTTTATTCAAAACCTACAACACTTTTTATCAAGCTAATCCAGCAAACACACAGAGCTGTGCTCTTCGAGACTATTTTTAATTTAAGATGTTTGCGGCTAATTTTCGTCGATTATCCGAAGATGATGACAAAAAACAACAGAATTTTACGTCGTTCTCCTGTCCTTCTCCTCCTGTACCCAGACCTTGGTTCATTGTAAGTTTACTGATATTAATCTACCAAAAACTGTCAAAATAATAATAATGAATAACTGATAATAATCAACCTTTTTTGACTTGTTGAATTGACTTCGTTCGCGTCTCACCTAAACGCGCCTTATTTTTTTTCTTATTTCCAAAAATATTGCATTAGTTAATTTTTGAGGAGACTAAGTCCGCTATTTTTGGACGCTTTTTTACTGAAAATAAACTTTTTAGATTAGTTTATTTGTCATCATTATATTTAACTAAGAAATTCAATCATTATATTTAATTTTTTTTAAATCAGGAATTTATGTTGCTGCATTTGTCATCTCTGGGGGAACTATTTTTTTTCCTTTTTCGTTGTTTGGCAGTCCATTCCTTTTTTCGAAAAAAGCTGTCTATAAACAAGCGGTCTCAAACCTACTAAAGCTTAGAAAACAACGATTTTTTTTTACCTCTTCTACAGCTGTTTACTATTCTTGTCGCTAACCATAATTTTCAAAAATACTAAATCGTATAGGATTAATTTCTTGGAGAATATTAATGCATTAGTCATAAACTTAAGGCGCCATTTTGATTATAATCAGCAGCGCAAACCTGTCGACTTTATACAATACGGTTCCCATTTACTAAAGAGAACGATTCTTTAACAGTGTAGCCATTATTTTTGCTTTTTAATGAAACTATAAAGCAGGTAATTCGGGTAAATCGGGCAGGTGTTTCAATATTTCGTACAAAGATTAGTTCAGTTGAATATGTGACGTTTGTTTACTTTCAGTCTTTCAAGGACTGAAATCATTCAAGGTTATTGATGTTCCGAGAGGAAGAATTTTTTTTATTCATTCATTGATTTTTTCTTCCTTTTTCTTTC